GGCAAAGTCATCTTCAAAGGACTTGCGGACATACGCAGAGCCTGCGCACAACAATGACGTGCAGAACAAAAGCAGCACGTGGCGCGGGAATGTGAGTGTATGAACGACGCAAGGGCGGCGACGAAATGGCTCGTCACGACGACCACAGCGACAACCACAGCGACAACCGCAACCACCACCACGACTGCAATCACGACCACCACCACCAGTCACGCCACCTTGGTGTTTGCTGGTTCTGCCAATGAGGGGCAGGAAGCGCAGCACGACGGCGTTGTATGCGTTGTCGCGGTCCTGTGAGTCCGCGGGCAGCGCTTGCACATATGCCATGGCATCGGCCAGGTTGGTGGTCGACTCCCACAGCTCATCCAAATTCGCCAGTGGCCGCACATCGCCCATATCAAGCTGCAGCGCTTCGGAAACACCGGGCACAAGCTGCTGTTGCTGTTGCTGTTGCTGTTGCTGTTGCTGCTGTTGGTGTGGCGGGCGGGCAGCTGTGATTGCTCTGATGGCTTCCGGGGCGGCAGTGTTGCTTGACCTTGTGTCAGGTGCGCTGGCAAGCAAAAGGTCAGCGCTGCCACGGCGGCTGCCGGTCCGACTGCTTGGTGCGCTTGCGCTGCTTCCACCGCGATGGTGGCCACGCAGGCGTGAGCTGGCATGGCTGTTGTGGGCAGTGTTGGCAGCGCCCTTGCGCCGGCCCGCCTTGCGTGCTGCAGCCAAACACGCCTGTTTTGCCTTTGCACCGGCGCTGGAGTTGTGTCGGCTGCTGGTTGCGCTGCTGGCTCCGCTGCTTGACGCCGATGCGACGTGGTTGCTCCCCGCATTGTGGTGGTTGCTGCTGGCATTGCCACCTTTGGTCCGCACGTTGTCCGCAGCGCCTGCTTGCTTGTTGTTGTTGTTGCTGCTGCTAGTATTCTTGTCTTTGCTCTTCAGTCCAACCGACGAGGTTGTGGCGACAGCGTCGTGTCGCGCAGCCCGCCGGCGGCCCATGGTGTGATGTGATCTGACGCAAGACGTGACAATGCTGTGAGCCGTGACAATGCTGTGAGCCGTGCTGTTGATTGAGATGTGATGGTGAGATGGTGAGGTCTGATGAGTGGGTGGATGGAAGTCCGCAAAGCCAAGGTCGGGCGGCGTGAAGACACACCACGCCAACAAGCGCTTGTTTCGCTGGTTTCACGACCGACAGCATAAAGTGCAGTGTTGTCTGCGGACACATTTCGTTGTGACTGCCTTCCTCCGTCCGTGCTGCTGTTCATTTTCACCACACCACCACCACGCCTCGTACACTGCACACCCCCTGCGTGTTGTTTGTTGCTGGTTCTCTCTTTGTTCGTGGTTCGCTTTGTGCTCTATTGATTGACATTCTCCCGCGCAAGTCAGCGAGGAAGCGGGCGCACTCCCTTTCATCCTGCACCATGTCGGAGACGATGGACAGCGGGCCCGACACGGAGAGCGGGCCACTGCTGCCGGGGCAGTCCCCCATGCAAACACAGCAAACCCAGGCGCCGCGCCGTGTGACGGCCCGAAAGACAGCGAGGAACACCGCGCGCGATCTTCAGGCACGACAAGTGACACAGGACCGCAGGCGCTCGCCGCGCACCGTCGTTGTGGACGATGACGACGACGACGGTGACGGTAAGGACGACGACGACGATGATGATGATGATGGCGATGATGAAGACAGTAACCTCGACAATCACGGCGACGACGCCGTGATTGTGGAGGACGACTCTGCCGCTGTTGACGAGAGTGGGCGGACATCTTCCGCCTCTGCTTCGGCTTCCGCTACCGCCAGTACCGCTGCCAACACCACGGAGCACCGCGACCACATTGCTTTCATCCCTCATCACGACACGGTCACCTGTGCTGGTGAAGACCAGTATGGCGACACAACCCTCTGCAAAGACTCGAGTGCGTAACGCATTTTTCTGTGTGTGCGTATGGTTAAGTATGTGTGTGTGTGTGTGTGTGTTTGTGCGTGGATTATTGACAGCTTTCGCACTGCCCATGTGTATGGATCTCTTACCCACCTGCTCATGTCTCCTCCACACGTTCTCGCACACACACACACACACACACACACACACACACACACACACACACATCAGTCTGTGCGCTGGCGGAGTTTGTGGATAACTCCCTGACGGCCGTGCGCAAGATGAAGCAGAAGCAGATTGAGATCATTGTCATGCGTGAAGGCGACGAGCCCATCCTTGGTACGTCCTGAGCAGATGGTGCATGGTGACATGCGGACAACAGAAATGCGGATACTTGTCCGCAACTACCTCTCTCGACCACCTTCTACACCACAACTCGTGCGTTCGTCTCTAACACACCTGCGTGCGTGCCGTTCATGTGTTCAGCGATTGTTGACAGTGGAACAGGCATGGACAAGCCCGACATCCAAGCATTTGCGCGCTATCACTACACCACCTCTCATCGTCGCCCGTGAGTCCGCGCGTGCGTGCGTGCGCGTGTGTGTGTGTGTGCGTGTGTGCGTGAGTCCGCGTGTGTGTGCGTGCGTGTGCGTGTGCGTGTGCGTGTGCGTGTGCGTGTGTGCATGAAGTTTAGCTCTATTGTCTCCTTCATCTCTCCCGTCATCACAACTCATGTCTGCATGCATTCCTCCTCCTCTCTACCACCACCACCACCACCACCACCTCTTCCTCCGTATCACCACCCCCTCCCGTCTTCTCCCTGCGTTCGCTCCAGCGACGTGACCAACGAGTATCCAAACCCGCGCGTGCAGTTCCACCACCACTACCTCAACTCCGGCATCTCCCACTTTGGTGTCGGCGCAAAGCAGGCCGGGTTTTATCTCGGCAACACGCTCGATGTGCGTGGGTCGCTGGCTGTGGTGGTCGTGGTGGTTGAATTCGGGGCGTGTGTACACTTGTTCGCCCTGTGATGGCCGTTGTGGTTGTGGGCACGTGCGGTGCAGAATAGGAGGCATGTACACACAGCAGCCAAGCCTCATACACACACACACACTCTCTCTCACTCAACCGGTTCCTTCTAGCCATTCACCTTGACATCATCTACCTTTCTCCTGCAAACGCATTGCTTGCACATATGTGTGTGTATGTGTATATGTGTGTATGTGTACGTGTGTATGTGTGCAGGTGTACACGCACACGGCGGACAGCGACACCACGCTGTACTTCAGCATGTCCAAGGCCGAGTTTGACCGCCTGAGCGAGAGTGACGAGAACCCGTTCCAAGGGGACGTGGTGAGCAAGCCGCCAGTCAAGTCCACACTGCCCAAGCCCGTCGCCGAGGCGTCTGCACTTCTTGATGACATTGACACGAACAAGTCAAAGTCGTACACCTGCGTCGTCATCAGGGTCAGGCATGCAAGAGGGGCGGGAGGGAGGTGGCACGTGTTGTGCGTGTGTGTGTGTGTGTGCGTGTGTGCGTGTGTGTATGAGATGTGCTTGTGTGAGATTTGTGTGTGTGTGTGTGTATGTGTACGTGTGTATGAGATGTGCGTGTATGTGTGTGCGTGTGCGTATGTGCGTGTGTGCGTGTGTGCACGTCCATCGGCCCTTTTCCTTGCCCTCGCGTGAACATGCGTACCGCTTCTACTGCTGACACCACCACCACCACCACCACAGGGCCTGAACGCAAACACGCTTGACGTGCTTTCGAACATGCCGCGCGTGGCTGAGGAGCTTGTGAACATCTACCACTACTACATCCACGGCATCCCAGGCAACGTCCCCAGCGACGAAAGTACGCACCACACTCTCCGCTTGCCGTTGTGTGTGTGTGTGTGTGTGTGTGTGTGTGTGTGTGTGTGTGTGTGTGTGTGTGTGTGTGTGTGTATGTGTGTGTGTGTGTGTGTGTGTGTGTGAGTGCTGGTGTCGGGGTTTGCTCGAAGCTGCCACACACAGACGAATTGACATGCGTTCACGTGTTCACACTTCCCCCATTCTCATGCGCACACCCTGGTGATATCGTGGCTTTGGTTTTGCAGTGGGAAAACTGTCACACCCCTCTTACGAGCACGCCCGCAAAGCCATGTACGCGACACTGGTGCTCTGTGAAATGCTTGCTTGTTCTGTTCCGTTCATGCATGTCTGTCCCCGCGTCATGCTATCGCTGCTGCTGTTGCTGCTGCTGCTGCTGCTGCTGCTGCTGCTGTTGTTGTTGTTGCTCCTTGACCTCCTGCTCTTGCTCCCTCATCATCCGGTGGCGGTGGCAGGGTGCCGATTGAGATGACGCTGTGTGACGTGAAGCCGACCCCAACGTCCGTGGACGTGCACCGCCTCGACCTCACCACCGTCCAGGGCGACTACGAGACAAGGTGCCGCCCTCCCGCCTACGTTTCTTCATGTCGTGTCGGGGTTGGACGTGGCATGTGTGACGAGTCGTGTGTGTGTGTGTGTGTGTGTGTGTGTGTGTGTGTGTGTGTGTGTGTTGTGTGTGTGTGTGTTGTGTGTGTGTGTGTTGTGTGTGTGTGTGTGTGTGTGTGTGTGTGTGTGTGTGTGTGTGCCCGTGTGTGTGCCCGTGTGTGTGTGTGTGTGTTGTCGACTATGCGACTACAGCGGGTATCGTTTCGTACAATGAAGGCGCCCAACACCGCCACCACCACCAACCACCGCTTACCAACACCGCCACCACCACCCATCGTTGCGACCAGGTGTCTTCGCTCGGCCGCCGACTTCTTCAACTTTTCGCTGACGTGCGAGCGCACCGTGCAGCGGAGAAAAGTGAAATACGAATTCGAGGTGCGTGGCAAAACTCCCATGCACCATCTCACTCACAACACATGCATCATTCACGGGTGGACGCGTGTCATGCTCATGCGCTGGTGGATCATGTGCTCAGCTGTTTGGTCCGGGTGGCCAAGATGCAGATGTTGCTTGCCTGTTTGCAAGCACGCTTGGGATGACACTCGCTAATGGTCAAACATGCTTATATGTGTGTGTGTGTGTGTGTGTGCGCGCGCGACGTGTGTGTGTGTGTTACTACAGGGCCAGCTGCGCTATCACCCGTAC